AACTGACTTTTAAAATTCTTGATTGCTTAGGACAGGGGTCTTCAAACTTGGCCCTTTTATGACTTGTGGACTTCAACTCCCAGGATTCCTCAGCCAGCATGCCTAGCTGAGGAATTCTGGGAGTTGAAGTCCACAAGTCATAAAAGGGCCAAGTTTGAAGATCCCTGGCTTAGGAGTATAAACTAGATCAGGGGTAGGGAACCTTGGCTCTTTTATGACTTGTAGACTTCAACTCCCAGAATTCCTGAGACAGTATGGCTGGTTCAGGAATTCTGGGTATTGAAGTCCACAGGTCCTAAAAGAGCTAAAGTTCCCTACCCCTGACCTAGATGATAATATGCCTCCATATGTTCCTGCCCAAATGTTAAGAACAGCTGATGGTGGTCTATTAAAACAGAGAATTTTATTTCGTCGGGCTGTTAGATTCATTACTGTTTTTATGTTCTGGTTATTTGTGAATGTTCTAAGCAAGTCTGAAAATTTTAGCAAACTGAAAAGCAAGATCTGTTTTTTTTTTTTTAAATCAATTAATAAATAAATGAGAGCTATTAGACCTTGGCTTCAGTCCAGAGTGAGGCCTGGGTGATTGTCCTCTTTTATGGGCAAAGGGCAGTGTAGTTTTCAGCCTTGAAGTCTTATTTATTTAAATTTCTTTTATTTTTGTATAAATCCTTGTTGAACTTTAATCCTTCAAGGTAATCTGGTTAACTTAGCTAGACTGCTAAGAAGACATTAATACCCTCTGTTTGGGATGACAGTAGAAACAGTTCCAAAAAAAGATGACTGTATTTGCCTCTCAGGAAAATTCCAATTATTCAATCTCATTTGGGGCAGGCAGAGAGGAAAAGAGCATGCAGGCAACGATTTTGATTTGTTAAACAGAGATTTGCTCTGAAAACTATTAATGGAGCAGTTACAGTACAAGAATAGTTTGTCGTTTAATATCTTTTTTTTAAAAATGCCATATCCTTGGATGGGAGTTGGTCCTGCAGATTAAAAGAATCAAGAACAACCCCTCCCCCCACTTAAAAAACACCAAATCAAGATGATGGTGGTGAGGGGGTTGCAATAAGCATATCATTTTCTGATCATTTAAGCAAAATATGTGCAAGGATGATTGAGATTAAAGTATAGTTACTGTTAATACTTTTAAAAGTATATAAATAAAAAGACAGAAATAGAAGAGTGGTATGTGGGAAAGATGTTTCATTACTCAACTAGCTAATATCATTAGTGCACTGATGATGTTACTAGCTGGGTAATGAAAAGTCTGCAAGAAAACAACTAAGCTCAGAGAGCACTAAGGGTCCCACTGTTCAATCCTGATTTACAAATATTCTCTTCTGTTGATATGGAAACGCTGCTGTATAAAATAAGATTTTAATTGAATCTCCGATCCTGGCTTTTTAATAACTCTAAGAATGTCCTTGGGGCCACTTTGGTCTGGAGTTTGGTCACCTGTTGTGTGCATGCACTACTCTCTCACAGATGGAAGGGGGATATTTGATTCTATAAGCTGGGATAAAGACAGTGTAACAGTTCAGGTACTATAATTCCAGCACAGAACAAAGCCTTGGAATTAATTTTGCTGCTTAACCCCAGCTCTAGAGATCTATTTGTTCATCTGGGGGAAAAGATGCTACCAACTCATCCCTTAGAACAGGGGTCTTCAAACTTGGCAACTTTAAGACTTGTGGACTTCAACTCCTAGAATTCTGGGAGTTGAAATCCAAAGGTCTTAATGTTGCCAAGTTTGAAGACCCCTGCCTTAGAAAGTGGTTGTGGAGATCACATTTACTTTCTTTCCACTCCAGGAAGAGCAATGCATATGGATTAGGATGGAGACTGAGGGACTATGAATTCCGTGCTGAGGAGGGCAGCTAAATATATCAAATGAACAAATGTATGAATAAATAAATAATTAAATATCTAATCAAACTTGCTTCTGAGCTCACGAGAAGCAAGAGGAGAAACGATGGTGGTAGCTAAGCAGCTCCCAGCCCATTTAGGTTGCCCCTGGGCCTTGTTTCCAAAGTTTCAAAAAAAAAAAAAAAAAAAAAAAGCATGAGCCTCTATGCAGGCTTACAGTTCAACATAACTGTTTGAAGAATACTTTGGGGAACTCTGGGAGCTGCGTACTTAAATTTAATAAATGGAAGAATTTCTATATTCTAAAGGAAACATGAAAGCAAGAAGTGTACGTAATTATTTTGGCCTCTTCCTGCCTTTCACACTAGCCTGAGCTTTGGATAATATCTTTCCTTTCATCCGGATTTGCTTTATTCCTATATTAGATGGATGCTTTCAGTATGATTTGGAATTGCTTCAGCATTTTTAATCAACGGTGGATTGTTTTGAATAGTTGAGAAAACATCCCATCTATAGACTATATTGAAATGCTATTTTCTACTGTGCCATGGACTAGTGCATATTTAAAACACTGAGAGCCCTAGATTTATGTTTGATAACCTGGGGCAAGAGACATAATGTCTGGCAACAGAGTATGTTTTTGAGGAGGAAGTACAGTACATGGGGAATCTTCCAGTGCTCTGGCAATAGTTTTCACTTTCCCTGTCCTTATTTAACCTAGTGTCAAACTCTGCTTTATTTAGATTGACTATTGTGTCAAATGGAAAAGGAAAAACAAAAGTTCATTTCCATCCTATGTTCTCAGTTTTATTGGGACTGCATCTCCCATCACAGCTAGGAGGCATTGGGAAAGCAGGCTTGGGCAGAGCATCTGGAGATCCACTTCATGGTATATCCTCTCTATCCAGTGTATTAATCTATGTCTTATCCTATCATCTTGTAGAATGATACCTCCCATGAGCAAGACCTTCCTGGTCAACAACTTGGCTGCGGGGACGATGTACGACTTGTGTGTCTTAGCAATCTATGACGATGGCATCACCTCCTTGACAGCTACTCGCGTGGTGGGGTGCACCCAGTTCACGACAGAGCAGGACTACGTGCGCTGCCATTTCATGCAGTCCCAGTTCCTGGGTGGGACCATGATCATCATAATCGGAGGGATTATCGTGGCTTCTGTCCTGGTCTTCATCATCATCCTCATGATTCGCTATAAGGTGTGTAACAACGGCGGGCACCACAAGGTGACCAAGGTCAGCAACGTTTACTCCCAGACCAACGGGGCTCAGGCCCAGGGGTGCAGTGGAGCCGTCATGCCCCAGTCTGGGTCCAAGCAGGCCGTGGGGCATGAGGAGAGCCTGCAGTGCTGCAAAGTCAGCAACGACAGTGTGGCACAGTCGTCGGAAGCCTGCTGCAGCCAGGACTCCTCCACTGCTACCTCCTCTTTGCCTCCCATGTGGACTCCTGGCCCTCCCACTTCCCAAAAGCTGAAGCGTAAGTCCATGCCAAAGCCCAGCAGTGATCCTCCACCGCCAAGCGAAGGTGCCGCTACCAGCCTAGAATCCCAGAACACTAATCGCAACAACTCAACTGCTCTGCAGTTGGCTAGCCAAACCCCAGACTATGCCAAAGGGGGCTCCCAGTACAAAAGAGCACAAGCCAAGTCAAGTAAGGTCCTCACTTTGCCAGCTGACCCATCCCGGGCAAAACGCAGGTACTCCCTGAATGGAGAATTAATGGAATACCATTGTTATATTAACTCCTCAAATGCAGGTGGATTTTGGTCTAAGCGGAGCTTGTCTATGAATGGGATGCTAATGCAGACAGACTGTTCCAATGTGGATAGTGGCAAAGCAACTTTCTCAAGTTCTGAGTGGATATTGGAAAGCACTGTGTGATCAGCTGTGATGTGTGATTTTCTTTTTTCTAAACTAAAAAAAGTATGGAGTACCCCATCCTCCAAACATTATTGGAAAACATGTATCCATTCCAGCAGTTTGCATTTTCCACCCTTATTGTTTTTTGGGCAGAGTTGGGCTCAAACCACCAGGCCCTTCCACTTGTTCCCATTTGGGTTTTCTTGGTTTTAGTATAACAACCGAAGGCAAATATCTTGTTCAAAGAGCTCATTTTTTAAAAAAAAAAGTGATCAAGGAAAAAGCACGAAATGACGCTAGTGCCTTCCTTTTTCCTTGGATTGGCATCTTGGTTCTCCAGTGGCAGATCAAGAACAAAAGCGCATGGGCAGAAAAGGCCTTGTATGGAGGCCATTTGTCTTTCCTCTACACCAACCATTTAATGGATCAATCATGATACAAAAAAGAATATTTTTAAAAGCAATCTTGAGTGTCTTTTTCTTCCCTCTCTCCCCCCACCCTCCCCCCGTGGTAATGGTGTTGCCTTCATTTTTAGGCAAATGCTGTAAAATCTCAACAACTCTATGTTGTTATATTGTGTAAAATAAAATATTCCGTAACTACACTCAGTCAGTGTTACAAGAAGTTCCCCCCCCCACATACACCTTGAATTATGGCTCAGGTGTTCTGGTGAGTGATGTGCCTGCCCCGTCTGTCTGGCATATGGAAAGAAGGGGGAATAGCTTGATCTCCTGGGTTCAGGTATGCTGGATTTCACTCCTATTGGTTTCTGTACTTTGCCAGCTGAGGTCCAGTTCCGAATGAAACTCCTGGGTTCAGGAATATCAAAGTTTTACAGCTTGAGAAGTTGGTTGTGCAAATCAAGATGGTTCTCTGCCTGAATGGAGGCTGGGAGAGCTTTTGATCTCTAGCAGCTGTAGAGTGAGCAAAAGCTTCTTTCTATCTTTAGCTTCTAAGTGAAATGGTTGTCCGAATTTCCTTTTGCTCATTTCCTGTTGATAGCTGAAATGTATTGCCAGGATTGAGTCGGTGACATGTAGATTTGATAAAGTTGATCTCATGTTGCTTTGAAAGGCAACGAATCTATGCTGCAGAGCCGATGCTACTCAGCATAACAAAAGGGACAGGAGATTAGTCAGAACAGTTTCCCCATACTACAGTGCTCTCAGGCTTTGTTGAGGCTCCAACCTGAGAGCCAACAGCCACCATGGTTGGAAATTTGGCTCCTGCATTATTTCATCTTGATTTTGGAGGGTCACGAAAACATTCTCAACCCTTTGTTCTTTTGGCTGAAGTGGAAAATATGCATATTAATGCGCGTGGCAAAGTTTACCAAATTATTCAGAGTTCCCATTCAAGTTGTTGAGGTATTACCAGGAAATTTAAAAAGGTGCTTTTTGATTCATTTTTGTTTTGATGCTATGGTATAATCATGGGATTGAAACTTTTACGACCTCTTTTCAGTGCTTAAATTAATAAGGCATGTTTTGATTATACTCAAAAGAGTTGCAAATTTTGCATTTCATCAGACTTAAAATTAATATATTTTTTTTCAATCAGTTGGAAGACAAATTGAAACTGGGAGTGGGAGTGATCTGATTAGCAACCAGGCTTGTTTTCCCCCCAAACCCCAAAAGTGTTTCACAGAAGAATATTAATATTATCTAACTCTCATCCCACATGATCCACTGTTCATACCCCAAATCTTCTCATACATGACATTTTTGTTGTATAACTCAATTTGTAAGTTTGTAGGATACAAGTCATGTGTCACTCGCTGAATTTCTTGGTGCAGTCTTCAAAGACTGCTCTGAAATGGTGCAGCCTCATTTGCTTTTTGGCAGAATTCAAGGAGATCAGTCAAACTAACACAAGGAAGGCACTGGCTTATATTCTGTGGGGTCCATTACTCAAGCAGTAAAAATATAATCTGGCATTATCATATAAGACCATTGATTTAAGAGGTTTATCAGCAATGAGCCATTCTGGGCAGTTCTCTCAAATTAAGTATGAAGGACGTAAGTATGGTTTCCAGAACTTCTTGTAGTAGTAAATGCCATGCTTGAACTGCTGTGGAAAATTGTTATTTAGATTAGACAGTGTAGTAAGGCTTGGCCTTGTTCTCCATTAATAGTCCTCCTGCTTACCTTATATGTTTGACTTAATCAATGGATGTGTGATGAATGTTAATATGTTCTGCAAACTACGGACCATAGTGAATCAATCCACCCATTTTTCCAGGATTGATTTGGAGCTAATAGAATCATTGGTCCAGTAATATTGCCTGAGCATTAATTGTCCTTTCTGTTGTCCATGATTGAGATGAATCTTTGAGAGGACCTTCTTTCTTTGGTCTTCCCTAAATACAATCTCCTGGGATGGTTTGGTTTTCCTTCACACCTCTATGGTCACACCGGGATGGAAAAGGGGGCTGTAAATATGGTATGCCAATCCAAGTCATATTATTTGTGATATATATTTAAATATATATTTTTCAAATGACTCTTGGCTGACTGTTCAAGACTGCATTGATAGTGCATGACAGTAGGTCAGTTGATCGGGGATTACTGAGTCAGTTGTGTTGTTCAAACATAGCTGCTGTGAAGCAGTTGCTTAAAAGAGCAGATTTCACTGGAGTGGATAAGTTGTTATTTTTAAAATCTGTATCAGTGCACCATTATTTAAATATTTGGAGAGGGAGTTTACTGGAAAAATTCTAGAGTCAGAAAAAGACCCTTTCCAGTATTTGATTTTTTGATTAAGTTGCCAAGCAAGTTGTCATCTTTCATTTCTGTCTTCTTTTTTCCATTTTCCTTCTCACACTGAGGGCCAATTTTAGGTGGCAATAGGGCAATTTCTGCCCCAAATATGGCAGCATATTTGACCTTGGCTGATCTTGAAAAGCTAAGCAAAATCAAACTAGTACTTAGAAAGAAGATCACCAGAAAATCCAAGATGAACTAACAAGTTAGGGTAGAAAGCCAAATAACCAACTAGCTGGCTTGGAAGAAGTCAGGGGCAAGAAGCCTGCATGTCGACAAAGTCACCAGGAACAGTCAAATTTGTGAATACACGTAGATTTCCAATTGTGCCTCTTGATTCTTTTCTCCCAAAACATTTGTGTTTCAGCCTTATTTCTGTACTTGAAAATATATTTGGCAGACTTCATTGGGTTGGCAGATGTGCTAATTCAATCTCTACCCTCCCACCAAGGATTTCTGGTCACAGTGCCAATTCACTGCTGAGACATTAGCCAGCTCTGTACATTGTATGACCTATTTGCATTTCAGTTGATGCAGCATTGAACAAGAGAAGTTGAGTTGATTTCTTCTATCGTTGATAGTCTTCTGAAATGAAACCTTGTGGGAGATAGTCAGCTTTTGAGTTGGGTTATCCATAGAGTGACTATATTTATATGTCCTGAATAGATGGAGTAAAAATAATGTTGGGCAGCTGAAAGGAAAAGCTTAGCTAGAGATCAGAGACAATTAGAAAGGCTCCAGACTTGTGGGCATTTTTTGCCCAACTTTTAATTGATCACATGCTGGTTCTTTCTGCATTGGCTACCTTCCTTGGAGCCCTGGTGGTGCAGTGGTTATAATGCAGTATTGCAGGCAAATTCTGCCCACATGGCATATGATCCTGACAAGGCTCAAGGATGGCACTCATTTTCATTTTTTTTCCTTTGCACAAAGTCTTCTGATCTGAAATTTTGCATAGTTGCTACACAACTTGTTTGAATTGCAAATTGTTATCAAATGCTGTTGTGCAAACAACGTGATTGGACCATTGCTTATCCTGTTATACATAATATATTTGGCCAATGGCTTAAAGGTTCCAAGCTGCAAAATGAAGGAACCTCAGATGATCTATGATGAAGGATTACATTGTTTTATGAAGTTCCTTCTATTTGGGAGCAATTTGGGGCCTGAACTACAAGAACGTGTTGTGGGTATATTCATAGAATGGATGTTATGGAGGGTTTGTCCAATTACAAAATTCTTATTTGTTAGAAGACAAGTTATAGAAGGTGGCAGCACTTAGCCAACCTTGACTGGTCTTGAAAAATCTAAGCAGATATTGAACTAGTTATTAGTTTGATGAGGACCACACATGCATAGCCCAGCCCTGTAAATGAGAATGAGTGGAGAAAAACATTCTAGAAAACAAAGACAGTTCTGGCATATTCTTGCCAAGGAAAGACATGACATGAACATGCTATAAAGTCACCAGAAGTGGAATGCAACTTGAGGGAGCTTTATATAAAAAAGTAAACTGCCCTGAAACCTAAGTAAAAGAAGTAAACTCTGAACCTACACATGATATACTTTTGCCCACGGGGCACAATGAAATATTCTAGTTCATTGTTTCTCAACCTTGGCCAGTTAAGATGTCTGGATTCAACTCCCAGAATTCCCCATTCCTCATGCTGCCTGCAGAATTTTGGGAGTTGAAACTGAGACATCTTCCAGATTGGAAAATACTGCTATAGTTCATAAAAAGAATATTCTTGATGCAGGAATTCTAGGAAATAAACATGATACTGTAGGTTGACACTTTACCTCGCAAAATGCCAACATCTTTATTTATTTAAAGTGTTTAAAAGTCATTTTAGAATTCAGATAAGTCCAGAAGCATGACAGAGAAGCATCTTGAAGATTAGTTTTTTTAAAGAGAGAAAAAAGAATGAGAGAATATGAGAATAAGAAAGAAATATTTTTAAAACAATAAGAAAGAATGATAAGGAAAATGCCAACAAGTTTTCCATATTTGTAGCCTTCCCGGGACTCT